CCCGGCTATGCGTTGTCTTTCCCCATGTCGCCGGTGCACTTTGTAGATACCTCGTATCATCTGGCGTTTACAGAGGTTCTGAGCTCATCCCATAGGAAATATGAAGTTGCTTCATGATTTGTACATTAAAAGAACCTAAGTGTAGGGTTGTCTTTAAGAGTTCTGCAGCTGCAGGCTATTCTTAGCCCAGTTACGGCACGGCCAGTACATAACTTCTCTCGTGTGGCTCAAAGAGCCGCGACAACCTACGCGGTATTTGCTGTATTTGCTCTACAGCCTCCCGAGTCAAATTCCCAAGAGATTCACCCTTACGCAGCAAGGCTTTACGTGTGTGTGGGCAGCCACATCATCACGGATAAGTGCCGCTGTAGTCCTGCTACATTGCATGACCCGGAACTCACTGCTTGCGCATTCATGCATGCCGTGCTACCAGCGCTGCACACTACCTAATCTTTCGGGTGTTTGGACCCTAAAATCGAGTTGCCCTACATTCCCCCTTTGTTTCCTATTTCACTGCCAGTTACTAGTTCTCTTGTCGGCGTATGATTGCGCTTCGCTGCTGCTTGACAAAAAGGCCTCTCTGCACTTTTAGCCGCATGTTCTCCAACATCTCTGAAATCTGTGTTTCCCCTCGCAAGTGAGTAGACCTTTCTCGTGGGCCCCGTCGCAAGCTTGCTGGACCATATCTTTCGCGCCTGATGCGTTCATTGCAACGCATAGCTCCCCTGTGATTGCACTCTTGCCACCGGCGTCAAATGGAGGCTTTTCGGTTCAAATTGTACCAGCATCTTTCGTCGCAGTTTCACTTTGACACGGGCACTGAACGACACGAATTTCATTAGCAGTTGTGACTCCTTCTTCCAAGTTGCGTCGTACCACCCCTTTGTTTTGCTTTGCTTTTTGCCGGGTCTTTACTACGGGTTCCTCTCCTGGATATCTCCAGCGCAGGCTGTCTGTGTGCTCCTGTGAGATGCACGTTATGGAAGTGTACATCGCACTTCGAAAACACACTTTCCCAAGTTTCCTGGAGGTGCATTGGGGTAGACTTCAGTTTGCATGTGGGGCCTCCGAGACACAAAGATATGCTCCGGAGCTGCCCACAGTTGTAGTGCATCAAACTCGGCTTGGATGCTACGTTGTCCTGTAGGCCGTCAAAAAAACTTTCAACGCCGTAAACGAATATAATGAACGCTTAAATAAGGACAGACTCTATGCGTACGTAACTGAAAAGCTCCAGAAGGCAGTAGAGTTCAATTGCACTCTCTTCGAAATGTCTTGCTCTGCGGCATTTTTCGTTTCCCACCCACTACCAGAGTTCTGCACTTTTACACATATCATACCTACTTATTATTTCGATCAGGTTTAGTATGATTCGCTCGCAAAATTTATTTCGTGTTTCGTTGTAACGCGCCGCACTGCGGTGGCGGCCAGTGGAATAGGTTGCTAAATACCTGCCGTGTGCGTGGCTATTATCGCAACCGCCATTGAGTCGTGACCTGCAAGTGCTAGCTGTGTCCATTTGTTTGCGTTCGGTATCCGTCGAAGCTTTGTGCTCTACAAGCTAGTTGGCACCACTGTGGATGTGAGTGAATAGCAGTGTATGCGCACACGAAGTAGTTGCTTGCACCGATGCGCTGATGCACTGCGGCCGGAGTTATGCCTAGTTGCTTTGAAGTTGGTACATGAATATGTCTGGCTTACGAGCTAGACAACGGCCGTCAGGAGTATGTGGCTGCAGCACGACAGTGAATTGTGCTGCTGCGGAGGTGCAGAGTGGCATAGCACCAGAGGGCTGGCAGCCCATGCCATACCGAAGTACCTCTCTGAATTACATGGAAAAATGAGAAATGCTGTATAGAAGTAAGAAACACAATTTTGGCAAGGGAGCTGCCAGTTCTGGTGGCTGGATCTCGCGAGCACTGAGGAATCGCGTGCCCCTAGAAAACAGCGAGGGGGCTCCTGGGACAAAGAGCAGACCTTCATAAATTGGGAAGTGGTTACCAACTTGAAGAGCTTTGCAAAAGAGGCAGTAACTCTTGGCACTGTTGCTGTGCAAGATTATCTGATGGCAGTTTTCGGCAGGGGCCACGTGGAGGCTCAGAAAGAACATACCAAACAAACAGATAAAATCTTGAAGTGGCGGCATGGATCAGACACCTGTCGATTGCTCGTAGCAAGACAGCCGTTACCAGGACCCACTTAAAGAAAGGGCTTAAAGAATCGCGATTCAAGCAGAAACCTTATCAGGGCGTTTAACAACCAACCGTTTACATCCATGAATTTTCTGCCTAACTCGGATGGTGCACACAGCGTGGTACGACATGACACTGTAATGAGGAAAACAGATCTAGTCCTCAATGGCAAAACTAGTGGGATGACTACTCCAAGAGCCTCCAGCTGCGTGTTTACGAGGATTCCGGAAGACTGACAGAGGCAGAATGAACATAAGCGGAGGAAAAGCGCGTCTTGGTATGTGGAGCAACTACTTATTTTGCCCTAGTGCAACTAGCATCGGCAGCAAAGTAGCAAAGCACTCAGTATGTCGTACCAGTTAGCAAAAAACAAACCAACTGCTCAGCTTCTCCTTAAGGAGCCCCGATACAACAAACCTGGATTGTGACGCGTTCCACCCCGTAACAGCCGTCTTCTATTCTCTTTGAGCCCCCGGGTGAACAGAACTACTCTGGATCATGACGGGCAGAGTAATCGGTATCAAGCGTTGCCTTTTACACTGAGTTTTTCCAGTAAAACTCTTTGCGGTCGTGGTTCTATCATGCAAAGAAATGGGGTTTAGCAACCGGCCAGGCGGAAAAGAAGCTGCACGTATTTAGAGGCAATCATACAGTAGCTGAACTAGTTTTTCCCCATCTATAAACATGAGCGCTCTCCCTAGCATCTTTAGTTTGGAAGTCAAAATCTCATTGGGCTATATTTCCCGTGAAAGGTCTCTTCTGGGCAGCCTCTGTAACACCTTTAGCCTGGAAGCCGAACAATCGGATTTGGCTCTGTCTTGCGTGGAAGTCCTCTCTTGGGGATTTTCTGTTCCTCCGAAATCGGCTGTTTTTCTTGTTAGTGCCCCGGAGTCGGCGCAAGGGCCCGGTGTACACCCGAAGTTTGAAAGCCGCAGTTTCAGGCTTTCGCCGTAGAAGTTAAACAGTGCAGCGTGGGATTAGGCAGAGGGTGTTGGCCTGGAGTCCAGCGGCAGCAGACCTTCCGAGAGGCGGGAGAGGTAGAGAGGTTAGTGGCCTGTATTGGGTGTCGGCCACCATCTAACTGCACGTGAATCGGTTTAAATGTAGCTTTTAAGAGTCCACCGCTCATTGTGGTGGCTGGAGAAATCACTTATCGGCATATAAATCTATGTTTGTGCATTGGCTCTGCCTCACAGACACTGCAGGAAGTGGGGAGCCAACACCGCTCGACAACAAACATATGAACACGGAGTGCCGCGGAGAAAGCGAGGCATGGCGCAATGCACCATGTTCTCAAAAAAGAAATCCTTTACTGCGATCTATCCCCACAACCAGCGTCACAAATCCTCTGCGTGCCACTGCAGGTTTCAATACTTCGGAATGCGCATGCAGGGGGCGTTGACTGTTCAAAAGGGCTCACTAGGCTAACACTGGAGCCCTGGAAAGAGGCAGGCCCTCTGTGTGTCTGCGTTGCAGCCTCTTTCTGAAGTGCCGCCTCTCGACTTGCAATGTACCTGCAGGGTTGCCATCGAGTGGGCATAGCCCGCCAGCGTTTTTGAGTAGGTCCTTAGCTCTTCTTACGCTTTTCCCGAGACCGAAACAGTGCTATATAGTTCTCCGTGACTCATTCAGCCACGGCTTTATCAGTACTGCAATGAAATCTAGCTCTTTTGCTGCCCCGTAACGGTGAATATGTGTCGCTGGTCGGGAACGCTCCACTTATCTTCGCGAAAAACTGCTTAATTTCTCGAAATTCCACTCGTTTTGTATCTGCTGGTGTCTGCATCCTCGTGGAGTGTCTATATGGAGCATCAAACCCCACATTTGGGCTGCAGGAAGTTGCTGTTATCAGTGCAGAGTTTGTGACTGCGGTCTCAGCGAAAGAGCACTGCATGTAGGTGATCGAGCTGGCTATTTCCGAGAACAGGCGGGCCCGCAGGGCCGAAGACAAGCTGAATGAGTGGGGCTGAGGTGGATATAAATTATACGTAAACTGACATGGATATGAGAAAGAGGAAACTAAATTTAGGAACGAAACAGCGCGCGGTGCTGGTGCCGTTGCGCGTCCTTTTCCAGGCATCGGCGCTGTTCCACAGTGTCGTGCTCACGAAACCTCGGTTGTCTACAAATTAACTAGCATTCAACAAATTAAAATGCATTGAAAACAAACTGGGGCCTTTCTTTTGACACAGACACTGCAAAAGGTGGGGGGCCCCGACCGTGGCGGACAGAGGAGCGCTTCAGCGCGAGGGTTTGCGTGCTTGGTGAATTGGTGTGTTTGTATTTTTGTTAGCGACTGAAGTAAATAAATTATATTTATTACGTACTATTGAATTGTTCTACGGGTCTGTGTCTACCTCCTGTCCTAAGAAGGCTGCACTTAAGCGGCACAGTCGCATCCCCCACGTGTTCTGAGTCGGTCTCACCACCACAGAGCGGCTGGTGCAAGTTCGTTTGTATTTTGCAAAGCTTTCGCTTCTCTTCGTCTTCCACTTCCCTTCATCTTTTCTGAACCTTAGTTTTATTTGTTTCTTTCTGCAAAGGTCTCCGCTGGCTGCGCGCGGGGCCCCAAGCCCCCTCCGGGTCTTTGGCAGCTCTTTGTCTTGGGTGCTTCTTCACTGACTCTTCTCCGCCCCAGTTGTGCAGCAGCAGCAGCTTAACCTGCTGGAGGCGCTTTGGGCTTGCGATGGGCAGGCCCTGCAGCAGGCAGCAGGCCACGGGTGTTTAGCTGGATCTGAAGAGGAGCCTGGGCAGCAGCACCCGCAGCAAGGCGAGCAGCAGCAGCAGCAGCAGCAGCAGCAGCAGAAGATGGCGCCGCCGGCGTTGCTGCAGTGGCTGGCCACGCGGGGCCCCACTTACTTGGCAGGTTTGGCGAAGAGCCCGTGGGTGGGCGGCGTGTGTGGGGCCGCGAGCACGCTGGGCTGGCTGGCGGGTCTGCTGCTGCTGCTGCTGCTGTGTCTGCTGCTGCTGTGTCTGCTGCTGCTGCTGCCGCTGCCGCGCAGCTGGCGCCGCGTCTACCGGCCCGCAGTCATCGGCACGGGGGCCCTCGCCCCCAGGCCCCTCAACTTGGCGCTGCTGCACAAGGAGCAGCAGCAGCAAGGTGCTGCTGCTAGCTGCGGCGCATGCGAAGGCCCCAGCAGCAGAAGCTGGGGCTATTTGCTGCGGCTCTCAGGCCTAGTGAGGCCCTGGCACGCGCACCACAAGCGGGGGCTGCTGGGGGCCCTGGCCTGCCGTTCTGCTGCTGCCATATCCCCCGCGGGGGCCCCCGACGCCTTTGCTGCGCAGCCCAACTCCTCCTTTCCCCTCTTTCTGCTGCCCCACAGCGCCGTCGACCGATTTGCTGGCTGGGGGGGCGAAGCCCCCGTGGCTTCTCCGAACTTTTCTCCACATCCTTCTTTTGCTGCTGATCTCCACAAGCCCATTAAGGGGGACTTGCTGCCAGCTTCGCCGCAGCAGCAGCTCCAGAAGGGTTGGTTTGGGGGCCCCCTGGCCCCCGCGGACGCTGCAGCAGCAGCATGGGGTCCCCGGGGCCGGGGTTTGCTGCTGCTGGCTTGTCGAGGGCCCCCGGGGCCCTTTCCGAGGCGCTGGTGGCCGCGGGGGCCCCCGAAGGGGCCCCCGAAGGGCCCGAAGGGCCCGAAGGGGCCCCCGAGCAGTGCAAGTCCTGCCAACTTGCTGCTTCGTGGCTGCAGTCGCCGGCGCTGCACCGGCAGCAGCTGCTGCAGGCGTGCCCGTCGCTGGGCCGCGGCTTCGCGCCCAGCAGCTTGCTGCTGCAGCACCGACTCGTGCAGGGGCTGCTGCTGTTCCTGCAGGAAGAAACGGGATTTGTCAGACTTATAAAGTTTGATAAAAGATATTGGGTGACATCTGTGGATGGCGACAGAGTGCTGCTGCACTACTACAGACACCGCACGGACTTGGCGGCCTGTCGCGACAGCTGGGGCCCCGCGCAGCAGCAGCACCCCGCAGCCTCTGCTGCTGCTGCTGCTGCTGAAGCCGCAGCAGCAGCAGCAGCAGCAGCAGCAGGGGCCCGCGCCGAAGAAGACGTCGGCTGCACGGACAGCCGCTTCCCCCACGGTAGACCCCACGGCCGCTGCGGCTGCAGAGGCATTTTGTTTATTGTGGGCGGTGAGTTTTCTTTCAACTTTCCAAATTAATTATTTATCATTTAATAATCAATTTAATAATTAATCAATTTAATAATCAATTTAATATTTCATTTGTTAAATTCACCCTCGAACTAGCGCAGCTGCGCAGCCTGCATCTCTGCCTGCTGCCTGCGTCCGCGCGCCATCCCGCATCCTGCTGCTGCTGCTGCTGCTGCTGCTGCTGCTGCTGCTGCTGCGCAGGCATCGGCGCGAAGGCGTACGACATGCAGGTGCAGCACGTGGTGCTGCTGGCTGCTGCCAAGGGCTTTTGCGTCTTTTTCTTGTCTTGTTTGCGGGGAATAGAAGCCCCGATTTCGAACTTGCCCACCGACCTCACCACCAGTGCTGATGTGCAAGCTGCTCTTTCTTTCATTTTGCATCTCCACGTCAACGGCTTCAAGGACCCCCCCCAGCAGCAGCAGCAGCAGCAGCAGCAGCAGCAGCAGCAGCAGCAGCAGCAGCAGCAGCAGCGCGGTGCGGCGGAGGCGGGCGCCGAGCCGCGCCGCCGCCAACAAGGCCACGGGCACGCCCACACCCACCAGGAGCAGCAGCACTGGCAGCAGCAGCAGCAGCAGCAGCAGCAGCAGCATCGCACTGTTTTGACAATGGACGAAGTCGATGAGGGCTTCTGCAGGATGATAACGGAGGGGGAAGAAGAGGCTTTCCTCAAATCCATTCCTGATGGATTTATTCCTCCCGTATTTCTCATGGGATACTCTATGGGGTCTTGTGCAATTCTGCGGCTGCTGGGCTCTTTGGGGCTGCAGCAGGCGTTTCAGCAGCTGCAGCAGCAGCAGCAGCAGCAGCAGCGCGAAGGGTCCAGCAAGGACTCCGCACAGACCACTGCCGCGGACACGCCTAGCAGCGAGAGCAGCGAGTACAGCGGCAGGAGCAAACGCAGCAACAGCAACAGCAGCAGCAGCAGCAGCAGCAGCCCGCTGGAACTCTCCCCCTTTTGTAGGGACCTCGCAGCAGCAGTTGCCAGTGAATATGTGCCGTGTCTGGAGTGGCTTCGTTTCCTCAAAGGCGCAGTCACCATCTCGAACGCCATGTGCCTGGACAGGTAACCTGAAGTGCCCAAGCTGCCTCGGGGGCCCCCAGCGGCCTCTTGGGGCCCCCAGCTGCGACAAATTGGGGTTTGTTTTCATTTAAGAACCACAAATTGTCTTTAATATCTCAGCAGCTCCTCGGGGGCTCCTTCTGAGGAGTCAGTGGGCTGTGTCGGGCGAGGGAGTCAGTGGGCGTTTCTGGCCGGGGTGTGCTTCTTGGGCTTTGTGGCTCGCCGTTTGCTGCACGCTGCTAATTATTTGCAGTTTAAAATTCCGTTTTATTGTCGAAAACGCAATTATTCAAGTTTTGTTTGGGTTGCGTGCAGCTGCATCGGCTCCCTGGACCGCGCCGGCGGCGTGACCGGCCGGCTGTGCAAAAGCACCATGCTGAAGATGTACAAGGTGAAGCAGTGGCTGGAACCCAGCAGTAATTACCTCACAAAAGGGCTGGACCCTGGCCTAATAGCTCTTTCGCAGATGGTGAGCTTTTGGGGTTGGACTCCGCGGTGTTCGGCGCACTAGGGTGCACTTGTTCCCGCGATCTGCTCACGGGTGGAAACGCGTGTCAGTGCCTGCTTATTTTCGTGATCCTAATCGCCTTTTTGCTCTATTTAGTTGAGTAACCCGTTTAATTTCAGAATTTGCTTTTTTAGCTCAATTTGGGCCATCTAGGCGGTTGGTTTTGGTGCAGAATTCAAGTTGTGCAGCTCCTGCTGAGGCGGGTGCGCGCCGGCTGCGCTTTTTTGTAGAAAATCTCGGAAAGCTGTGGCTAAATGGTTTTATTTGTTTGTGTTTTGCGATTCAGACGTCGACTTTGCGAGAGATCGACCTGCTGACGCACTTGTCGATCTGCTTCACCCCCTCTTCGCCGCTTTCCTGCACGCGCGTCTACTACGCCCTGACCACCTGCCTGCCGCACATGCTGCTGGTCCCAGTGCCGCTGCTGTGTCTGCATGCGCTGGATGACCCGATAGTGGAGCCCTTGGCAGTGTGCCGGGCTGCAGCAACAGTGCCCAAGTACAACCCGAACTGCACGTACGCAGTGGTGGGCCGGGGCGGCCACAATCTGTTTCAAGAGTCGTTTTGGCCCTTGATCGGCACCGCCGTGTGGCGCTGGCTCGCCAGTGCATGCAAAAACATCAGCCGCAACTTTAGTGGAGAAGAAAAGAGCAAAAAAGCGGAAAAAAGCGCAGAAAAAGGCGCAGAAATGAACTGCAAACAGCCCAGGGGCCTCTACGTGGACCACAGCTTCCAAGCCCGAGTTGCACTGGAGTTCATCACCGCGGTTTGGAGAAGATGCGACTAAGTCCCAACTCCCAAACCCTAATTCAAAACCCTAAACCCTCGCCACTGAAGTCTGCAAGCCGCAGGGTTTGGGGGAGCGGAGGCCAAGCGTCGTCGGCTGCAGCTGCATGCGCTGCTGCAGCAGCTGCAGCAAAGCAACAGTGACAGCAGTTAGCTTTGCTAGGGTCTAGGAGTTGAGTTTCTGATTAGTGTTTGGGTTTGCTTCATCATTTATTCTGTCTCAGATCGATTTGGTCCTGCCCGCTCTGTGTGGACCGGTCCGGTCCACTGGTTTGTGTACTTGAACTCCACTCTCACGCCAGCTAGCCACAGCTAGCCACAGCTAGCCACAGCTAGCCACAGCTAGCCACAGCTGGGAACTCACAATGCTGGGAAAGAGGGGCCTGCGCCCGTTTCAGCGCGCCTCAGCGCTCCGCAGAGAGCTCAGCCAACGGCTGCAGCCGCCCCCGCACTCAATGAACTAACAGACTCGTTTCGCTTGAAGTCAATGCATGCATGCATGCGCAAAAGAAGGCCTGTGGCTGCAGCAGGCTCTCCTAGCAGAGTTCTGCATGCAGCAGAGGCTCTTCTGGCAGAGTTCTGCATGCAGCAGAGGCTCCAGTGGCCTCAGCTTCCCGCGGACTTGGCCGTGGGGAGGTGAAATGGCTCTCGTAGACTCATCGGGGGGGGAGTTAGCGTGGAAAGCGGAGGCAGAGGGTGTGATTAACTGCATAAATCTGGTGATCTAAATATAATAAATAATAATTCCAATAAATTAATTCGTTTACGGCGCAGGAAATCCTATTTAGGATACTCTGGGGCTGCATGCGCGGCAACTCGCTGGACGGCACACACCCACAGGGTGGAACTTGGGCTTGCAGCCACCAGAGAAGTTCTTTTTCGTCGAAATAAAATGAAATTAAATGTTCTTGAGGTGGAGAAGTAAATTTTATCTCTTTTGAAGTGAAGAATTAAGGTAAGGAGTTCCCCCTGTCTTCAGTCATTCAGGTTTGATTGGCCTTACCTCGGCATTGCGCGGAGAAGTCGGTTCCTGTGAGGCGTTTTGCCCTTTGATTTCCTTTTATTTTCTTGAATTAAGTTATTTTCTGCAGTTTATTTTTGCCTTTTAATGTTCCTTTTGCTGCATCTCCGTAATCGCCGGTTGTTCCCCATGCGTGTCGCATGCTGGACACTGTGGCTGGGTGGTGCTTGCGTCGCTGCTGGCCGATCTTGTTCTAAATGGTTCATTTTCCGTGATTTTAACGCTACTTTTAGGATTTAATTGCAAAAACAAATTAATATTTCGAATTGTGGCATTGAATTCGCTGGCTGATGATCCAATTCGCGCGAGCCACCAAGTCCTGAGGCTCCCGGGCCCCCCCGGCGCGGCGAAAGGCCGGGGCCCCCGCGTCTGCTGTCTTTGCTGCCTCTTGCACGAAATCTTGGCTGCAGCAGCAGCTTTGCTGCAGCTGTAATCCGTGCAGCACATTTTATTTTATTTTTATTTAAATATTTTATTTTATTTATTTAAATATCTTTTTTTAAAGCCGTCAATCGTTTTGCTGCTGCCAGAAACGCCAGCAGCAGCAAAACGCCCGACGGGATAGGGGGGGCAGCAAAGGCGCAGAGGGAGCGGACGGCTGTGAGCTGTTGCTTTAGTAAACTGAACTTGGCGAATTTTATTTATTTATTTATTTAGTTATTTATTTATTCATTTATTTATTTATTTATTTATTTATTTGTTTGTTTGTTTAATTTGTTTATTTATTGAATTTAATTAATTTATTTTGGAGTATTTATTTGTTTTTGTTTTGTTTGTTTTTTCTTGTTTGCTTCTTTAGTCTTTTTTTTTTGTGAAGTTGTGGCTTCGGCAAACTGAACTTTGGGAATTTTTATTTCTTCATTTATTTAATTTTGAAATATTTATTTATTTGTTTGGTCTTCAAATATTTATTTCTTTTATTTTGTTTTAGTCTCGGAATATTCATTTGTTTCTATTTTATTATTTAATTTTGGAATATTTGCCTGTGTTATTTTATTTTCTTAATTTTGTAATGTTTGTTTCTTTATTCTTGTTTGTTTAATTTTTGAACGCTTATTTTCTTTTTTGCCTTGTTTGCTTGCTTAATTTTGGAGCATTTATTTCTTTTTGTTTCATATATTTCTTTATTCTGAAAATAGTTATTTGTTTTAGTTTTATTCCTTTGTTTAATTTGGAAATATTTATTTGTTTTATTTATTTGCTTAATCTGCAAGTGCATATTTGTTTTTTTTTTATTTGCTTCTTTAATCCCTATTCTGCAAAGTTGTCGCCTTTTGCATGCAGCCTCTCGCTCAAGCCTTGGCGCTGCTGCGGCTGGATCTTGCTGCTGCTGCTGCTTCTGTTGCTGCTGCTGCTGCTGCTGCTGCTAAGTACTGGCTGCGTTTCTGTAACAGTTTTGTATTTATTTAGTTTCGTGTGTCTTCTGTGTCTTACAGAAGGCGGGCGAAGTTGGCGCTTTTGTGCTCGGGGTGTACAGACACCTGAGCGTCTTGAAACGCGACTTTTCTTTCGAAGTTTCAAATTTTATTTTACTTGAGAAGTTCAGCTGCTGCTTGGCCAAATTAGTGAAGAAATAGAGCACTGCAGCACCCGCAGTTTCAGAGTCAACTCTTTTTTTTTAGACTAGAAAAAGGAATATAGAAAGAGGTTTTATATGACCAGTGGAACAGACTTTGTTCAGATGAGGTGTATGTACACCTGAACCGCAACAGTTTCCTGCAGTTAGCCACTTGCTGAAAAGAGAAAACGAAAGAGAAAAGTTCGCTTATTTTAGTTGAGATAAAATCAGAAGGAGTTTCTTTTTAAAGAAGTGGCTTTCTATCAAACACAAGCAACGTTGTCTTTGGAGCCCTTCGGGTGTATCTACAGACCAGTGTCGGGTGACCTGTTGAGGTGCATGGTTGGTTCTCGAGCTCCTTATTTGCATTTGTCATTAAAAAGTGGTAAAAAGTAATTCATTTTGCTTTTATATTATAATTAAAATATATTTATAATTATAATTTTGCGCGAGAAGGCGTGGCAGCAGGTTTTCACGCGTGAACGGGCGTTCGGACTCTGGAGGCGCTGCTGCCTCCTCCTCGGGAGCTTCGCTGCTGCTGCTGCGCTGCTGCTGCTCTTAAAGCCGTTAATTAAAATGAAAATAAAAATAAAAGTTGAAAATAAAAAAGTATTATTTTTAATTGATTGAATAGGTCGAATGTGGGGCTGTGTGCTCCCTCTTTGCAGCCGGGGGCCCTCGCTGGAGGCCCCAGTGCAGCGGGCAGCAGCTGTTTCGCAGCAGCAGGATAGATATTTTTGAGTAATTTTTTGATTTTTAAATTAATTTTTGTTTTAAAATTTATTTTTGCAGTTTTTTGCTGCTCATTTCCGCCTTTCTGGTTCCCTTTGGGGGCCCCGGGCGCTGCATGCGCATGCAGCAGCGGGACAGTCTTTGTTAATTGCCTGAGTTGCCGCAGCAGCAAAGTTGGGGCCTTTCTGTGCAAGAGCGAGGGCGGAGTGGCAGCAAAATGTCGCGGGCAGAAGCAACAGCAGCGCCTGCTGCTGCTGCTGCTGCTGCTGCTGCAGCAGAAGCAACAGAAGCAGCAGCAGCAGCAGCTGATGCCGGCTCGAAGCGGCGGAGCCCCCTAGACAGCTCCGCGCCCCCCGCGGAGCTCCCCGAAGACCCCGCCCCCAGCACCGCCAACCCCAGCAGCAGCAGCAGCAGCAGCAGCAGCAGCAGCAGCAGCAGCAACAGCAGCAGCAGCAGCAGCAGCAGCAGCAGCAGCACGGCGAAGCGCGTGCGGCGCACTTGCCCCTATTTAGGCACCATCAACAAACACATGTTGGACTTCGACTTTGAAAAAGTCTGCAGCATTTGCCTTTCCAACCAGCACGTCTACGCCTGTTTGGTTTGTGGCCGATACTTCCAAGGTATTTAAATAAATAAATAAATAAATAAATAAATAAATAAATAAATAAATAATTAATTAATTAATTAATTTTAAAGTTCTCTTTTGCATTGGCATGAGGCACAGAGGCCAACGAGCTCGCCTTGGGGCAGCTGCGGAGGGTTTAGGGTTTAGGGTTTAGGGTTTAGGGTTTAGGGTTTAGGGTTTAGGGTTTGGGGCGCAGGCCGGGGGAAGTCCACCTTCGCGTTCATGCATGCGCTGGAGCAGCGCCACTTCGTTTATGTCAATTTGACAACTTGCAAAGTTTATTGTCTTCCGGACAATTACGAAGTCCAGGACTATTCTCTGCAAGACATCATTGTCCGTAAACCCTAAACCCTAAACCCTAAATTAGGGTTTGGCCGCCCTCACGCTCTAGCGCTTCCAGGGCCCCCAGACGGCCCCCGGGGGCCCCGCAGCAGAGAAGCCGCAAACCCTAAACCCTAGCTGAAGCCCCAGACCCGAAACCCTAGCTCCAGCCCTAAACCCTAAACCCTAGCTGCGGCCGTAAACCCTAAACCCTCGGCGAACCCGCAAACCCTAAACCCTAAACCCTAGACTTTGCTCGAAGAAAGGCCTCGAGCGCGTGGGCGCCGGGGAGCAGCAGCTGCTTGTTAGCCGCTAGGGTTTGGACTGGCGCGCAAACCCTAAACGGCGCGCAAACCCTAAATTAGGGTTTTAAACCCTAAATTAGGGTTTTAAACCCTAAATTAGCGTATACGGCTCTGCTGCAGTACAACTTAAACCCCACTTATACCCCCCAAGACGTCGCTCGGCTGTCTGCGGAGGTCTTCTACGGCAAGTCTTTAGACGGCGCGGACTTTTTGCCGGGCTGCGTGGGGCTGAACAACTTGAGCAAAACGGACTTCTTTGCAGTTATAATTCAAGTATTTTGATTAAATTTAATTAAATTTAATTTAATTAAATTTAATTTAATTCAATTTAATTGTTTTAATCCTCTGCAGACTCTTTTGCTGCTGCAACAGCACTTTTCCCGCTGCTTTCCGCCGCTGCTGCGGCGAAAGCTGGAAACCCGCAGCAGCAGCAGCAGCAGCAGCAGCGCTTGCTGCAGCAGCAGCAGCAGCAGCAGCAGCGCTTGCTGCAGCAGCAGCAGCAGCAGCAGCGCTTGCTGCAGCAGCAGAAGCAGCAGCAGCAGCAGCAGCAGCAGCACTTGCTGCAGCAGCAGAAGCAGCAGCAGCAGCAGCAGCGCTTGCTGCAGCTGCAGCAGCAGCAGCAGCAGGGGAATGTCTTGCTGCTGTTTGGCAGCAGCTGGTGCAGCCCTCGGCTGCTCGTTTTGGCTGCTTTCTTCTGCATTGGGTGTTCTGTGGCGAGCTTGTTGCTGCTGTTCTTTCTTTTTCTGCTTTCTTCACAAAAGTTGAAAAGAATTTAAATGCAATATATCTTTTTTTGTTTATTTTTTGTTTATTTTTTGTTTATTTTTTGTTTATTTTATTTATTTATTTCTTTTTTGTCCAAGTTTTGTTTCTCCCGAGCTTTCCAGCCTTTCGTTGGACTTCTTGTTCGCCTCTTTGCGGATTGCGTTTCTGTTGCGGATTCAGTTTTGAAACAAATTCAATTCTATTTTTGAATTATTTTTTAAAATAAATTCAATTCTGCCTTTTAATTATATTTAATTGTTTTTAAATTAAAAGAAAATGAATTTCTGCACTTTGCAACCTTCAAAAGAGCTGCTTTTTTTGCCTTTCTGTTCCTGCATTTGGGTTTGTTTCTTTTTCCCTTTCTCTTTTGATTATTTGCTTTTGTTTGTGTTGCTTTTGCTTTTTAATTCCTTTATTTCGCAGAAGTTTCGTTTAATTTGCCAGTAATTCAATTAATAGTTTCGGATTTGTTTCTTTTCCCGCAGAGCCTCTGCACTATTATTCCTCTTCGCAACTATTTGCTCTTGCTGGACTTGTCTGAAAAGCAAAAATACAATTCTGTCTTGAAGACTTTGTCGGAGTTAATGCGAAAGATTTTTAACAGAAGAAACTTCAAGGGAATTGTTTCTCCCCACGAGTTTCTGCAGGTGACCCAACACTGACAAGTTTGCAAATTTGCAGAACCAGTTCACTTTTTAATGCGAAATTTGCTCCCAACTTGTGGCTTTTTTCGAATTTATTTGTGCCAAGTTTTGCTGTTCAATGATTTTGGCAGCTGAGTGCTCCTTTTGATTCATTTCTTCCCTGAATGCATGCAGATTGCATGCAGATTCATTGCAATTGACACAAACACCCTGCGGATATTTGATAAAATGCATTTTTTAAATGCATGCAATGCATTATATTTCTTTTTTGTTGTTTTCTGGCAGGCTGTTGGCGTGGAAAGCAAGAAGAAGTTTCGCATTGGGGAACAGTCGGACCCGCTGGCTCTCTTTGCCTGGCTCTTGAATGTGCTGCATAGAGACCAAAGGGACAAAAAAACTGGGGGTAAAAACCGGAAAATAAAGAATAAAAACTATTAATTATGTTGGCAACTTCGAACTGCAATTACTTTGCAAATTTCCACACTTTTAATGCCTCTTCAGTGTTCTGCACTGCCACTGCAGATACAAGTACACGGAGTGAATCGACGTGAAACAAATGTATATATCTCCCTATATATGTACATATTTATATATTTATATATACATTTGTCTAGTCTTTTTCCAACTAATTACCTCTCACGTGTTATCAAAAGAGGTGAACTTCTGCAAAGCCTTCTAGGAAAGTATCCAGCGAGGAACGTATAAAGGGGTCAATTGCAGCAATCACGAGCAACTAAAACCGTCACGTTTTGCCCATTTAATGATTTATTTGCAAAATTAAATGAAGGTTTTTGTTTATAGGGTCTATTATTCACGATTGCTTCCAAGGGGAAGTTCTTGTCACCGACGCTCAAAGTGAAGAGGGCAAGAAAACGCCTTTTTTGTAAGATTTCGTAAATTTGTCTTTTGAGTGTTTCTCCAAAAGTCTCAGCGAAATATAGTCTCTTTTACTCCTTTTATTGCTTTTAGTTTCAGCTAAATATAATCTGTTTTACCCTTTCTATCCCTTTTAGTTCTTTTTATGAATGTGCATATGTTTGTTGTTTGCTTCCCTTTCGATTCACCTTTGGCTGCTTGGATGTTTTTTGTTTGTTTTTCGCTCTTTATTTGCCACAAATTACCTAATTTTAATTATAATTTTAATTATAATTCATCATTTTTCTTCCTGCTTCTGCTTTATTTAGGTATTTGACCCTCGACTTGCCGCCAGCGCCGATTTTCAAGGACTCTCTTGACCGCAACATGATCCCCACAGTAAGCGAAGCCAGAATTCAATAAAAGTTATTTCAAAGTTTAATTTCAAAGTTTAATTAAATTGCATTTAACTAAATTGCTGCTCTTTTATGGTCCACAATGCACTGCTTGAGGGTCTACAACGGCACAAAGCGGTGCACGCGAGCCAAAAAGTTAACACCAAATGCGGAAGATCTTCTTAATTTCCCTTTTTCGCTTTTCTATTCTGTTATTTCTTCCTGAACAATCTGGCAGATAAGTTCTTTTTTAAGTGCTTTATTTGTTTGCAAATCGGATTCATTCTTCTTTTTCTTTTATCCTGCATTAAGCCTGTTATTATTCGGGCGTGGAGTGCAGTGTGAAAAGACAGAGAAACATGCAGAATATTTATGCACATATTCAGAACCTCCTTTGATTATCTTTCAGTAAAAAGTTATTTATTTATTTTATATTTATGCTTTCGATATTCTTTTCCGGCTTCTTGTGTTGTTCTCAGGTTCCTATTTTCGACTTGTTGCAGAAATTCGACGGCGAGACGGACAGTGTAAGAAGCACCTTTTGCAACTTCGAGCATTAAATGCGCAAAAGAGAATCAAAAAAACAAAAAGATTTGATTTTTTTTGAAAATACAATAAATGGATTAGGCCTCGCTGAATAGCTGCAATGAGGTGCATATTTCCTGTTTATTTTCTTGCAAAAGTCCACCTTTTCCTTCAAGTTTGTGTTTTAATTGTTTTAATTGCATTATTATTGGATTGCTGCTGTTGCAAATTCACTTTCAGGGCCCCACGCCCCTGCAGCGCAAGAAGTGCAGTCTTTACAAACTGCCGCGCTATTTGGTTCTCGCGGTGAAGAGGTTTTCCAAAAATAATTTCTTTGTCGAAAAGAATCCAACAATTGTGACATTTCCCGTCAAGAACCTTGACCTGAGGGAATGTAAGGGACACAGAGCCCCTCCAGCTAGCTAGCTAGCCAAATGGCTGGCTAGCCAGCTAGCTGGCTAGCTTACTGGCAAGTAACTTGCCGGTAGTAAGCTAGCTATCTATCTATCTAGCTAGCTAGCTAGCTAGCTAGCTATCTAGCTAGCTAGCCAGCTTTGTGACTGCAGAAAGCCTGACGCGATTTACTGCTGCTCTTTGCCACTTTTCTTCTTGCGTATTTAATTCATTTTGCGCGCATCAGTTCATCTCAAATAAATATTTCCCAAAGCATTTTTGGAAATATAAATATACATTTGTTTATGTTTTTGTATTTTGTTTCTGAAATGTTTAGTTTTGTGGTTTTGCTTCATGTTGGATTTGTTGAATTTCTTTTGCCTTTGTTGGTGGTTTCCAGCACCGATCATTGATTTTCGACTTAAATGGTTCTAATTTTGAATTAAATGGTTTTATTTTGGATTTAAATGGTTTTAATTCCAATTTAAATTGTTTTTATTTCCCTTTTTCCGCAGATGTCCACCCAGATGCACTGGAAGACAATCCTGTAACCCGCTATAATTTGGTTGCAAATATTTGCCACCAGGGAAAGCCCCACGACGGGTTTTATAAAGCACAAGTGCTGCATGCAGTAAGTTTGAAACTTTAAATATTTTTTTGAAAACTTTAAAAGTTTTTTTGAAAGCTTTTAATGCTTTTGTTTGACGAGATGCTTTTGCTTGAGAACTTCAAATGTTTTTGTTTGTATAAATGCTTTTGTTTGAAAACTTTAAATGCTTCTTCTGAAAACTTTGAATTTTTGCTTGAAAACTCTAAATGCTTTTGTTTGAGAACTTCAAATGTTTTTGTTTGAGGACTTTAAATGCTTGTTTGTCTTGGGGGTTACTGACAAGTCGAAGTGGGCTAGTTGTTGTTCTTTTTCCTGATTAGTTCGATTTATTTGCTACTTTTAGTTTTTTGGAATTATAATATAAATATATTTATTTATTTAATTTCTTTTTGCCCTTCAAAATGCTCAGTTTTCACTTTTCTACTCTTGACATTCGGAAGTTGGCTTTGTGAGAACTTGTGCAAAATTTTCATTTGTCGACTCGGGAGTTTCGCCATGTGTTTAATGCTTAATAAATTAATATTTAATTAATTCAAACATTTTCTTTTATTTATTTTTAATTTATTTTTATTTCTTTTTTATTTGTTTTTCTGGCCAGTGGCAAAAAGTGCACTCCAGTTCCTTTGCAGTTCAGCCATTTTGCCTTTGCAGCCGATCTCTCTGTTCTGAACTCCCCCACAATTTGCAAAAGTTTCCAACTTTGCATTTAATTTATTATTTATTTATTTATTTATTTATTTATTTATTTATTTATTTATTTATTTATTTATTTGTTTGTTTATTTTTTAGCCAACAAACGAATGGCACGAAATGGAAGATCTGCGGGTGACTCCGGTGTTGCCTCAGTTTGTGGCGCTATCAGGTGCGTTTCACCGCTTTGCGAATTTTCCCATTTTCCCCCCTTTTTCTCTCTTTTTTCTCTCATTTTCCTCCCATTTTTCTCCCATTTTAATTCTTTTTTCCTTTTAATTCCCTTTATTTCCCTTTCCCCTTTTATTTCCCTTTATTTCCCCCTTTTTTCCCGAAGATTCCGCCGCAACGGCGACTCGCGCGGGCTGCATGCGCGCAGAGGCGTACATCCAGTTTTACCAAAGACAAGACATTATGACTGACGGCTCCCTCGATGAAGCTTTGCAGCAAAAGTGTCTTCAAGAAATGAAAAAAGTCAAAACTCAGGCGGAGCCCGAAGACGAAATTGAAGACATTTTCGCTGTTTGAAATAAAGTCAAAATTATAAAACCAAAATTTTAACAAGTCCGAACCCCTTGCGTCTTTGCTGCTCCGCAGCAGCTAAGGCCCCTCACGCGCACGCCGCAGGAGCTAGCTAGCTGGCTAGCTAGCTGTCTATGTAGCTAGCTGGCTAGCCAGCTGGCTAGCTAGCTGGCTAGCTAGCTGGCTAAGTAGCTAGCTGGCTAGCTAGCTGGCTAAGTAGCTGGCTGGCTAGCTAGCTGGCTAAGTAGCTAGCTGGCTAGTTAGCTGGCTAGCTAGGTGGCTAGCTACCTAGCTGGCTAACTAGCTTTCTAGTTGGCTATGCATTTGGCTAGCTAGCTGGCTAGCTAGCTAGCTAGCTAGCTAGCGCTCGGCCGGGCACAGACTAGCCTAACCGACGGCTGTCTTCATATTTCTAACGAAAGTTTTTCTTTTTCTTTTGAAATTAGAATTCTTTTTTGTATTTTTAATTCAACTTTGGCGCCAAATAGCACCAAAAGCAATACTTGCAGCGAGGTCACCAAAGTCCAGGCCTGCTGAGCCAAAAAGCCCGAAAGTCGCATGCATGCATGCATGCATGCAAGCATGCATGCATGCAAGCATGCATGCATTTGTGCATGCATGCATGCATGCATTGTGCATGCAAGCATTTGTGCATGCATGCATGCATGCATGCATGCATGCAACTTCTGAACAAATGCATGCGGCTTCGGGACTGGGACAGACAAAACGCCAAACAGCGCCAGTTCTGCATGCATGCGCTCGACCCGCATGCAAGCATTTGCATGCATGCAATTGCATGCAATTGCATGCAGTTGCATGCAGTTGCATGCAGTTGCATGCAATTGCATGCAGTTGCATGCGGAAGGTGCCAAGAAAAAATAAATGTCAAAGGACTTGCGCCGCATGCATGCATGCATGCATCCACGCATGCATGCATGCATGCATGCATGCATGCATGATGCATGCATGCATGCATCCACACATGCACGCACTCACACGCACATGCACACATGCGTGCATGCATTCACACATGCATGCATGCAAACGCATGCATGCATGCATGCAAACGCATGCATGCATGCGTGCATGCATGCATGCATGCGTGCATGCATGCATGCATGCATGCATGCATGCATGCATGCATACACTTTTCTAAGCTGCATGCACCCATCCCTTCCCCTGTGCGTATGTTCAGGGTGACAGGCAAAAACAGAAGAACGTTCTGGGACTTGAAAGGCCCCGCTCGCTGCTGCTGCTGCTGCTTGTGTGGGGCCATTGTGGGGCGCAGCCAGCTGCCTCGTGGTGCAGCAGGGGAGGCAGCAGCAGCAACAGCAGCAAAAGAAGGCAAGAAATGACAAAGAAGAATTTGCAAATAAACTACTTTTATAATTAAAAGAGCAGCAGCAAAAGCTGCTGCTCAAACTGTTGCAGTTCAAAGAGCAGCAGCAGCTGCTGCTGCTGCTGCTGCTGCTCAAACCCACAAAATAAAGGCTCCCCCCAGCAGCAGCAGCACGCTGTGCAGCCCCACTTCTCTTGCTGCAGTGGCTTCTCCCGAGCTCAGCGGGGCCCCCGTTGCTGCTGCTGCTGTTGTTGCTGCTGCTGTTGTTGCTGCTGCTGCTGCTGCTGGGCTCGCAGCAGCAGCAGGGGCGCGGCCCGACCGCAGCGCCGGGGGCCCCTCAGGGGGCCCCCCCGGGCCCCCCGGGGGGCCCCCCTGGGGGCCCCCCTGACCCTCCAGCAAGGCCCCCTGACCCTCCAGGGGGGCCCCCTGACCCTCCAGGGGGGCCCCCTGACCCTCTAGGGGGGCCCCCGGGGCCCCCAGGGGGGCCCCCAGGGGGGCCCCCGTGTCAGTAGTGGCCTGCGGCAGCAGCGGGAAAGCAGCAGACAGCAGCCTGGCCAAATGGCTAGTCTGCAGCAGCAGCTGCTGCTGCAGCTCCGTGGCTAGCTGGCTAGCTGTAGGTTCTGCTGCTGGCTGCTGCGGGTCCGGCAGCAGCGCCAGCCGCACGGTGACCACCTGCTGCTCGCCGCCGCTGCTGCTGCTGCTGCTGCTGCTGCTGCTGCTGCTGCTGCTGCTGCTGCTGCTGACGGAGACCTCCTCCAGAGCCACTCTTGCTGCTGCCACCCCCAAAGCCTGCACGACTGCCTCGTGCACTTTTTGCCCGAAGGCCTGGGGGCCCTGGAAGCTGCTTTCGAGCTGCTGCGGCCCCACACCTGCAAACAGCAGCCGCACAATGGCCTTGCTGCTGCTGCTGCTGCTGCTGCTGCTGCTGCTGCTGTTGGTGGCGGCGGCTTCGTCGGCGCCGCTGCTGCTGCTGCTGCTGCTGCCGTCGCCGCCGCTGGTGCTGCCGCTGCTGCTGCTGCTGCTGCTGGCGGCAGCCGGCGCCGCCGCAGCGCCGTCGCTGCTGCTGCTGCTGCTGCCTGCTGCAGCAGCAGCAGCAGCAGCAGGCTCAGCAGCAGGCTTCTCCTGGCTTCCAGGACGGCCCATCAGCGAATTCGTAAGAGCAGTTCCCACCATGCTGCCGACTGCAGCACCAACAGCAGAAGTGACAGCTGTGCGGGTCAGCGAAGGCCCAGCAGCAGCAGCAGGAGCAGCAGCAGCAGGAGCAGCAGCAGCAGGAGCAGCAGCAGCAGCTGGCTGCGCCGCGCCACTCATTGGGGCCCCAGGGGGGCCCCACGCTGCAGCAGGGGGCCCCTGGCCCGCGAAGTGAGGGCCCTGCCCGTACGGCTGCTGCTCATGCAGCAGCTGCTGCTGCTGCTTCTGCTGCTGCTGCTGCTGCTGCTGCGGGTGAAAGGTTTGGTAGGGATAGGCGGGCGGCGGCGGCTGTGGGGCAGCAGCAGCAGGGCCCGAAGAAAACCCATAGGGCGTGGGAGCAGCAGCAGCAGCTGCTGCTGCGGGCTGCTGCGCTGCTGCAGGTGCTGCAGCTTGAGGCGCTCCTGCTGCAGCTGCTGCAGGGGCTGGGGGGGGCTGAATTTGCTTCTCAGCAGCAGCAGCAGCAGCAGCAGATGGAGGGCCAGAAGCAGCTGGAGTAAGTCCCGGCGTCTGGTGTCCCTGTGGCTGCTGCTGCTGCCCTTGCTGCTGCGGCTGCTGCTGCTGCCCGTGTGGCTGCTGCTGCTGCGGCTGCTGCTGCTGCCCGAGTGGCTGCTGCTGCTGCGGGTGCTGCTGCTGCCCGTGTGGCTGCTGCTGCTGCGGGTGCTGCTGCTGCCCGTGTGGCTGCTGCTGCTGCGGGTGCTGCTGCTGCCAGTGTGGCTGCTGCTGCTGCTGCTGCTGGTGCGGCTGCTGCGGCTGTCGCTGGACCTGCTGCTGCGGCGGAGGGTGGGCGGGCCGCTGCTGCTGCTGCTGCTGCTGCTGCTGCGGCGGCCTTGCTGCTGGCGGCCGCACGCTCTGACTCCTTGCTGCTGCTGCGGGGACAGAAGGCCGCACGGAGCGGCCGCGGAGGCTGCGTGCCCTTCGAGTGCGCTGCAGCAGCAAACAGCACACAGCAGCACACGGAGAGCTAGGGTTTAGGGTTTAGGGTTTAGGGTTTAGGGTTTAGGGTTGGGGGGCCGTACGTGTCGCCGTACTCCGCTTTGGGCCTCCACGGAGGTGGGAGACTGCGGCCCCGGGCCAAGGAGCAGCAGCAGCAGCAGCAGAGCTGCTGCTAGCTGCAGCTTGCGGCCTAGCACTGGCATGGTGAGGGTTTAGGGTTTAGGGTTTAGGGTTTGCAAGGCATCTGCGTGCGGGTGCCCAGGCCCAAAACCCGAACGCTCCGCTGGGCTCTGTTCAATTTAAAAGGCGAATTGAAGTGACAAATTAAAATGCTGCCAGAGGCGCAAAAGGAGAAGAAGGCGCTGCTGCTGCTGCTGCTGCTGCTGCTGCTGCTGCTGCTGCGGCCCTGCGACTCCAGTACTCCGTGTCGGCCACAGCAGGGACCCAACTCCCCGTGCAGAGGCTGCTGCAGCAAAGTTCGAGATTAACGCAAACACATTTCAATTTAATTATTTAAATTTATTAATTTAGCCTCTTTTGAGGGCGCAGCACTAGCAGGGGCGCCGGGACAGAAGAACTTGCACAGGGACCCCAGCCCCCGGCGTAGTCCCTGGAGGCGGCTATGCTGCAGAAAGCGGCTTCTTGCGCGCAAACTGCTGCGTTTTGTGGCTTTTCTAATTGTTAAAAAGTTGAATAAAATAAAAAGAAATTAAACTGAGGAATAAAAGGGGCTTTATTTGGTATTTCCGCCTCAGACGGCCTGCAACAGCTGCCCAGGTGGCGCCGCCTCCCCGCGAGTGGTCACGCCATCGAATGTGCAAAACCCAACAAAAAACAGTTCTCTCAACTTCTCCAAAAATTGCATTTCAACTTTTTAATTATTTAAATTCAACCTGACACATTAAATTGGAGTTCGAGGGAGCGTGGCGGAGGCGAAGCTGCACAGGCGGGCGCCTGCCGGGGTTCTGCAGCCGTGTGCAGCGCAGCTTGTTTTTCCTCGCGGCACTTCTCTCAAATTTTTGGATTTTCGCATTTTATTTATTTACTTTTCATTTTTAAATATTAAAGCTTTCAAAAAATGAAGAGAGAGGGGCCAGGAGGCGAAAATGGCGGTGTGTGTGCGGCGCTTCCTGTGGGGCTGTGGACACACTGTGCCGATTGAGTTCGAAGCCGCCGCGAGCTGCAGCAAAAGTGACCCTCGTCTTTTAAATTGCTTTTTTAAATGAATTTGAATTTCAAAATCATTTATGGAGAAGTTTCCGCGGCGTTGCGGCGAACAAAGGCTTTCGAGGGTTTCTTGAACAGCCCTAGATCCAGCCCACGTCGGGAAACAAGTTCTTGAACATGGGGGGAAACCCGCGGACTTTTCCCCTAAAACTCAACTAATATTATTCAAATTGAAAAGTACTATTTGCTGCAAATAAATGCCACAAAAAGGGACTCTGGGGCAGCTTCTTGGGCTCCAGTCTCACCAAATTCAACTCTGCATTGCAGAGTTCTGCTGCAGTTCACATGCAGCTTTTTGCTGCTGTGCAGCAGCAGCGTGGAAACGGAAATGCCAGCCCGCTCGCTGCTCCTGAGACCTTCGCAGCTCCAAACCCTCGCCAAAAACGCCAGAAATGAATTAATTTGAATTTATTGAATTGTTTGATCGAAAAATTCCGAAAAATCCGCGAAATAGTCGCAAAAAACCTTTTTTCGCACTTGGCTGCACCCAGCAAGTGAGCCAGAGCTTCTCTTTGCGGCCAAAAAATAACTGTCTGAAGACAAACTTTTCAGTTCTTTTTGTTTAAAAAGCTTTAATAATAGAAAAGAAAAGAAAAGAGAGCCGTCTAAATGGATTCTGAAAACATTTTGCAACTTTCTGTACTTGATAGTTTCTAAAAATACAATTTTTCCGATTTTTCGGCTTTTTCTTTCCTCACCTCCACTTCTAACTTTGTCTTATTAAGCTTTAAATGCTTGCAGAAAAAGGACTTTTGGGGGCTGCTGGGCCTTTGCTCCTGCTGCTGCAGCAGCTTCTTGCTGCTGCTGCTGCTGCAGGTCCTTCGCAGCAAATGCGCCCTTCGCAGCAGTCGCCACTTCAGGCGAAATCTGCACAGCAGACGCCGCTGAAGTGTATGCAGCAGCTGCTGCAGTCTGCTGCTGCAGCAGCTGCTGCAGTCTGCTGCTGCAGCAGGCTGCAGCAGTCTGCTGCTACAGCAGGCTGCAGCAGTCTGCTGCAGCAGACGGCAGCAGACTGCAGCCTGTCTCATTTGCTGCAGCCTCCGTCCTATTTGCTGCAGCCTCTGTCCTATTTGCTGCTGCCTCTGCGTATGTCTTACTGGTTGCTGCTTCTGTACTATTTGCTGCTGCCTGCGCCCCTATTTGCTGCTGCTTCAACCCTATTTGCTGCTGCTTCTGCACTATTTGCTGCTGCCTCAGTCCTATTTGCTGCTGCTCTTGTGTCTTCTTTCTTTCTTTGCTTTTCGTCTTCTCCACAAAAGTCCTTTTCTAGGCCAAACGCTCTTTCTGTTAAGCAAGCCAGTCGCCCCACAGCTGCCCAACGAAGCAGCAGCAGCAGCAGCAGCAGCAGCAGCAGCTGCAGCTGCTGCTGCAGCTGCAGCGCAGCAGACGCTGCTGTGCGGCATGTCTCCCACTGAATGCAGCGGCAGCGCGACGCGCTGAAAGGCGCCGCCGCCGCCGCTGCAGCAGCAAGTGCTGCAGCAGCAGCAGCAAAGCCGCTGCAGCAGCAGTGCTGCAGCAGCAGCAGCAAAGCCGCTGCAGCAGCAGGGCTCGCGCGTCAGGCAGCAAATAAAAGACTAAAGCGGGACTTGTCGCCCAGCCACTGCAGCAGCAGCGCGAGACACACAGCAGCAGCAGTGCAAATGGGCAGAAAGAATCCGCTGGGTCTGACGAGGGCCAGTGCTGCGGTGTACGTACACCTGAGCAGCGCTGCTGCTTCCGTCTGCTGCAGCTGCTGCAGCAGCTGCAGCGGCAAAAACCCAGCGGCTTTCTGCTGCTGCTGCAGCAGCAAATCATCTACTGACACAAATGCAGAAGGCAGCGGCTGCCGCCAAGCAGCACTAGAAGCAGCAGCAACTGGGACGTGTCTGTACACCTCAGGGCAGCAGCTGCTGCGCGCTGGAACTGCTGCTGCTGCTGCTGCTGCTGTTGCTGCTGCTGCTGTTGCTGCTGCTGCTGCTGAAGCTGACGAAGACGCAGGTGGCGGTGATCGCGCTCCGCTGTGTGCAGCGCTGCAGCAGTAGCAGCAGCAAGGATGCTGCTTGCTGCTTGCTGCTGCAACAGCTTTGGCCGCAAGCAGCAAGGACTCCTGCGGCTGCTGCAGCTGCTGCTGCTGCTGCTGCAAAGCAGCATCTGCAGAGAGGGCCCGGACCCACGCTGCTGCAGCCACCGAGCCGGGCTGCCCGCCTTTGCCGTCAGCAGCAGCAGCAGCAGCAGCAGCAGCAGCAGCAGCAGCAAGAGCGCTGTATGAAGCTGCTACGTGGGGCATGCGGGGGCCAACGATGCTGAAGAAAGCCCGCGGATATGCCAAGCGGACGCAGTAGCAGCGAGCCTGTGTGTCTGCTGCTGCTGCTGCTGCTGCTGCTGCTGCTGCTGCTGCTGTTGCTGCTGCTGCTGGTGCCGCCTCAGTTTCGAGCGCTGCCGTGTCTGGCTGCAGCGAGAAGGGCAGCAGCAGCGGGGAGAAGGGCAGCAGCGTGAGCCCGTCTGCTGCAGCAAGCTGCAGCAGCTGCTGCTGCGTCAGTTCGTGCTGCAGTGCGTCGTGGGACTGCAGCAGCAAATCTTCCAGACAAAGCCTTCCCAGGTGTACGCGCTGCAGCACTGCATGCACCTCCCCATACACCGCGTCTCCCAGCTGCTGCCTGCACTGCTGCAGCAGCTCCGGCTGCTGCAGCAGCAACTCGCACAGCGCCACCACATCCACCCCCCGGGACCTCCCTCCCCGCTGCTCCTGCTGCTGCTGCTGCTGCTGCTGCTGCTGCAGCTGCAACTGCTGCTGCCTTTGCTGCTGCTGCTGCTGCTGCAGCTGCAACTGCTGCTGCCTTTGCTGCTGCTGCTGCTGCTGCTGCTGCTTTTGCTGCTGCTGCTGCTGCTGCTTTTGCTGCTGCTGCTGCTGCTGCTTTTGCTGCTGCTGCTGCTGCTGCAGCAGCTGCAGCAGCTGGGGGGGCGCGGCGTCGGCGAGGGCGCAGCGGCAAACAGCGAAGAGGCGGCGGCGCTGGGCGCGGACTGCAGCAGCAGCAAAGTGCAGCACGAGCAGCGGGTGTGCTGCCAGCAGCAAATCGAGAAGTCTTGCTGCTAACTTGAAAGGATTTGCTGCATGCATGAACCAAGTAATGAGCCAGGAGACGCAAGGCAGCAGCTCGCCGCCGGGGGTTGCAGCAGCAGCAGCAGAACACAGCTGCAGCAGCACCCGCAGCTGCGGGTCTTGCTGCTGCAGCAGCAGCGACAGCAGCCGCACTGCTGGCAGCAGCGAGGCCTCAAATGCTGCAGCAAGGTAGTCGCTGATGCAGCAAACAAACACTCTTTCGCAAAGCACGAAAGACAAGCAGCAGCAAACCAAAGACAGCCCGCTCCCCGGCTGCAGCACTGCAGCAAACTGCAGGGGATGGCCCGTGCGAGTCTCCGTGGAGCTGCTGCTGCGTGCTGCAGCAAACGCCGCGGGCGGCCAGCTGTCTGTACACCTCAGCAGCAACCAGCAGCTGCTGCTGCGCCTCTGCTGCTGTCAGCAGCAGCGCAGCAGCAAGATCATGCATGCCCTGTGCATACACCAGAGTGGGCAGGTGCCGCGCCAGCAGCCCCAGCAGCAGCAGCCGCAGCGCCCCGCGCAGGCTCTCCAAACTGCTGCTGCTGCTGCTGCTGCTGCTGCTGCGCCTGCTGCTGCTGCTGCGCCTGCTGCTGCTGCTGCCTTTGCGGCTTGGGCTCCTGCTGCTGCCACACGGCTCCTGCTCGTTGCTGCTGCGCCGAATGCTATTCCGTGACTCGCTGCTGCTGCTGCTGCTGCTGCTGCTGCTGCTGTCCTGGCTGCTGCTCCACGAATCGGGTGGGCCATCGGATACGCTGAGGAAACTGCCGCTGCTGCTGTCGCTGTCGCTGTCCTCCCCGCTGCTGCTGCTGCTGCTGCTGCTGCTGCTGCTGCTGCTGCTGCTGCTGAGCCTCCAGGCTGTGAAAGAACGCTGCACATCTTTTTCTACTTGCTGCTGCTCGTTGCTGCCCTGCAGCAGCTGCGCCTCCAGCCACCAGGGCAGCACGGGAAAGGGCCCTGCTGTGTCTTCTTCCACTTGCTGCTGCTTCTTGCCATGCTGCTGCTGCTGCTGCTGCTGCTGCTGCATTCGGTGCTGCTCAGCAGCAGCAAGCTGCAGAGGCGAGGCATCGTCTGGAAGCCGCCCGAGCAGCAGCAGCAGCAGCTCGCAGACAAAACTTTCTGAGTCTTTGCTAAGGTCTTCTGCTGCCCACGTCCATGCCTGCTGCTGCTGCTGCTGCTGCTGCTGCTGCTGCTGCTGCTGCTCGTGTGGCAGCTGCTGCGCAGCTGCAGCAGACGCGGGCCGCAGCAGCAGCAGCAGCAGCAAAGCCTCTGGGAGCTTTTTGCTGTACCTCGCGCGGTACTCGGAAGCGCAGCGCAGCACCTCAGCCACGCGCTGCTGCAGCCAGCTGCAGCAGCAGCAGCAACTTCTGCAGCAGCTGCTGCTGCCTCTGCTGTTATTGCTGCTGCTGCTGCTGCTGCTGCTGCTGCTACCCAACTTCTGGCCGTGATCTTTGACGGCTGCAAGAGGGCCTTGCAGCTGCTGCTGCTGCTGCTGCGCTCTGTTGCCCCTGGAGCGGCGCCGTAGCCGGTGACCTGCTGCTGCTTGCTGCTGCTGCTGCTGCTGCTGCTGCAGCAGCTGCCGGGCTCTCAGGAATGCCAGCAGCAACAGCATGGGCCGCGTCAAGCAGCAGCAGCGCAGCAGCAGCAAATACAGCGGCAGCCGCCAGCAGCTAGCCCTGAAGCCGCCGGTGGATCGAGACAACTCAGCAGCAAACGCACGAACGCCGTCTTCGTTGCTGCTGCTGCTGCTGCTGCTGCAGTTGCTGCTGCTGCTGCTGTTGCTGCTGCAGCAGCTGCTGCTGCTTTCCTCCTCGTTCTGAGAGCAGCACTGCCTTCTCCCGAGACGGCAGACCTCCCTTGCAGCAGCAGCTGCTGCTGCTTCCTCTGCTGCTGCAGCAGCTTCTTTTGCTGCTGCATCTGCTGCAGCAGCGAAGCTCGACCCATGGCCGTGGTCTGGGTGAGGGCTATTGCCTCTGCTGCTGCTGCTGTTGCTGCTGCTGCAGTTGCTGCTGTCCCTCCTTCTTGTGGCTCTCTTGGGGCGGAAACCGCGTCGTTGCTGCTGCTGCTGCAGCAGTTGCTGCTGCTGCTGCTGCTGCGGCCCTGTCGGCCCCATTTTCAATGCCAGTCAGTGTTGCTTCTTCGGAACTGCTGCTGTTGAGTTGCTGCTGCTGCTGCTGCGCTGCTGCAACGGCGAAATGGAGGGCCCCTGAAGAGACCCATGGTGCAGTGGCCTCTTGAGAAGGACCCGCCACAGTGCCGTCTTGCTGCAGCAGCAGCTGCTTTGCTGCTGCTGCTGCTGCTGCTGCTTCTGCCTTGCCTCCCTGCTGCTGCTGCCTTGTAAACCGCAAAGACACAAACTTACACTTTTTCTCGCTCGACAGGCTGGGAAGCAGCGAAGAGCGCGGGCTGTTGCTGCTGCTGCTGCTGCTGCTGCCAACGACACCCTGGGGGCCCCACCGGGCGCAGCAGCAGCAGCAGCAGCAGCTGCTGCAGCAGCAGCAACGGCCGCTGCTTTTGCCGCTGCTCTAAACACAACCCAATTACTTTTATATCTCAAGTGTAGCAACAGCTGATTGACTTCCGCTCCCGGAGTGTCTTGTTGGAGCAGCTGCTGCTCCTCTGCGGACCTGCAGCAGCAGCAGCAGCAGCAGCAGCAGCAGCAGCAGCAGCAGCCTTGGTGAAGCAGTTCCAGAAGAGCTGCTGCTCCCCACGAGCCTTATTTCGCTCCAAGAAGGGCCCAAGGGCGCTGCACTGGAGAACAGGGCTGCCAGCAGCAGCAGCAGCCGCCCCAGCAGCAGCAGCAGCAGCCATACCTGCAGCAGCAACAAAAACAGCCGCAGCAGCAGCAGCAGCGGCGCAGCAGCAGCGAGCTTGCCACCAGTAAGGCGGCAGGAGCTGCACGTCGAAGCCGTGCAGCGCAGCAGCGCAGCCTGGAGGGCTGCAGGGCGCAGCAGCAGCTTGAGCAGCAGCAGCAGCAGCAGCAGCTGCTGCAGCAGCAGCTGCAGCAGCAGCACCGCAGCTGGTTCAAACAAAACGAACCTGCCTCAGAAGCAAGGCAAAAGGCTTTGGCCTTCACGGCTCCTCCGCCGCCGCAGCAGCAGCAGCAGTAACTGCAGCAGCAGCAGCAGCAGCCGCAGCAGCAGCAGCAGCAGCCACAGCAGTTAGCGTGGCTGCTGGCGCACCAGCAGCAGCGCTGCCGTCGTGCT